TTTGTTCTTCACAACATCCCTAGGCAACAACTTTCATAGGTTGACTGGGCACTGTGTGAAGAAGTACTTCCTTTGGTTTGTTTTAAACCTGCTCTACCTATTTATTTCATCAGGTGATCCCTGATTCGTATGTTGTGTGAAGGGGTAAACAACACTTCCTTATTCATTTTCTCCACACGATTCATGATTTTATAAACCTTTATCCATAGCCCCTCTCAGTCATCTCATGGAGAGTGCATTGCTTTAATCCAATCTTGGGGTGGCACAGGCATAGATAACTTGTAAGGTCACCTAGTCTTTCCCTTGCCAAGACAGGATTGTTCCTGCAGTATATCTTCAGTGTACTGATTTTCTTTAAAAAAAAAATACATACACACGCCCACACACCCACCCAGTATATACTCTTTCATTAGCCCGTTCGTTTATAAGCTGACCCCCCAAGATGGTTTGGTAAAAATATCCATAACTGTATGACCCTTTCATAAGACGACCCTATATTTCAGGGGCTGGCAAACTTTGGCTCCTGGCCCATTAGGGTAAGCCGCTAGCGGACCTGGACATTTTGTTTACCTGGAGCGTCTGCAGGCACGGAGCCCCTCAGCTCCCAGTGTCCGCAGTTTGCCGTTCCCAGCCAATGGGAGCTGCAGGAAGTGGTGCGCCACAGGGAGCTGAGGGGCTCCATGCCTGCAGACACTCCAGGTAAACAAAACGCCGGTTTATTAGATATTCAATTAAATGATTCCATAGAGTTTAAAATCATCATATTTTGGTGTAGACCCATTTATAAGCCAACCCCCGCTCTTTGATGCGTCACTTTTTTACCAAAAATATTCGGCTTATGAATGAGTATATACATTATATATTACTAAAAGGCAAATAGGAAGAAAAAAATGTTGTATTCCTTTAACTTCTAATGTCCAAAGCTACTGAGCTAATGGCAGTGTAGATAATGGTTTGCCTCTGTTCACAGCACTGTATGTACCAATATATCACTTCAGGCAATTTTTCTATACTTTGTTACATATGAAATGCCACATGCAAAAACCCCTAAGAACAATTGGGATATTAAACTCCGTTGGAGCTAGTTAAGTACAGTATTAACTGCTACACTATAGGTGTGATTGAAACTTTCCAAGGTTTATGATAAGTTTTGATTCCTTAAGTGAGAACATCACAGATGATATTCACACTTGTTGAAGGGAATGATTTCCATCTTCACTTTCTAGGCTCTACATAGCTCTGACTCTTTCCCCTTCTCCCCCCCAGCAGTGCATGGATGTAGCACTGTGACTAAATATCAGTGGTAGCCTTGCAGGATTGAAAATTTCTGTGTCTGCATTATGAAGTTTGCTTATTGACTGGATTTTTAAAACTGCATTGACTTAGCTTTTGATGAGGGGAAAACTGGTCAGAAATAGCTCACGGGAAGGCCATTGTTGGCATCTAGTGCATTATGCTGCTACTTAGAAAACTGATTCCCCAAGCTAACCCTTGATCTCACATTTTGCCCCTTATGAATGTTTTAAATGCACGTACAAAGATGTCACAAGATTAGAATAGGGAACTATGTTGCAACAAAATCCTTTGCAGAATTTAGCTATTCCACACGGTCTAGATTAGCAAATGTTTAGAAATGACTACGCAACAAAATAAATTGAACTTTGGCCAAAGAGTGCATGGTTCCACTCTGGAAAAAGTTATCTAAGCTTTTCTGTTTATGCTGTGGCATGAAGCTTAAGTGCTGTGATTAGAGATATTTTACAACTGGAGCTAGTTCCGTGCAGTATTAACTGCTACACTACTCTTGCAGCTTGTTGGGACACATTTTGAGATCACACTTTACACGGAATGTTCTAAGTAGACAGTTAGTGATACACAAAAGGAAATCCTCTCCTGTTCCTTTTACCAGTATTATAAGGAGCAGGAGAATTGTTGGGAAAACGCTCTAGGTCATCAGGGAGCATATGCTGCTCAGTTATAGACTGACTCCTCCTCCCCCCTCCGCCCCTTGTTGCCTGTCAAAAGTGGTCTTGTAAACTGATTTATAATCTCAGAAAAAGACAGGTCAACACTTCCTTCTTCCTGTTCTTCCCCCCCCCCCACCCCCCCTTGGGTTGCACGATGTCATCATAGTTTGCAGAGAAGTGGTTTAAATGAGTTCAAATTCAAAGTCTCACTTCTGTATAAACATTCCAAAGCAAAAAAGCCCATAAACATAGTCAGGTGGTGGGTCTCTTTCTGCGCTCCTCCGTTTAAAAATCTACCTATTGGGTGTTTTGCCACTTATAAATAGGCAGAAATAAGAACTGATCTGTTGTGGTCAGAATTACTGCTGTGGATGTTCTGATGCATACTGTGACAGGTTAGATCACAGTACTCCCCTTGGGAGCTGCCAACTGATGTGCCAAGACTAATTCTGCCCTAACTTTCCTGTCCCGTCAGCTTAGGACTTCAGTGCCCTGCCTGGTTTGAGCCAGACTCGCTAGCCTGCTGCAAACCCAGACCCAGGTCTACAAAAAGAACAGGAGTACTTGTGGCACCTTAGACACTAACAAATTTATGTGAGCATAAGCTTTCATGGGTTACACTCCACTTCATTGTATGCATAGAATGGAACATATAGTAAGGAGATGTATATACACATATAGAGAACATGAAAAAGTGGGAATTGTCCTACCAACTCTAAGAGGCTAATTAATTAAGAGAAAAAAACTTTTGTAGTGATAATCAAGATAGCCCATTAAAGACAGTTTGACAAGAGGTGTGAAAATACTTAACATGGAGAAATAGATTCAACATGTGTAATGGCTCAGCCATTCCCAGTCTCCATTCAAGCCTAACTTGATGGTGTCTAATATGCATATTAATTCCAGTTCAGCAGTTTCTCGTTGGAGTCTGTTTTTGAAGCTTTTCTGTTGCAAAATTGCCACCTTTTAGTCTATTACTGAGTGGCCAGAGAGATTGAAGTGTTCTCCTACTGGTTTTTGAATGTTATGATTCCTGATGTCAGATTTGTGTCCATTTATTCTTTTGCGTAGAGACTGTCTGGTTTAGCCAATGTACATGGCAGAGGGGCATTGCTGGCACATATCACATTGGTAGATGTGCAGGTGAACTAGCCCCTGATGGTGTGGCTGATGTGATTAGGTCCTATGATGATGTCACTTGAATAGATATGTGGACAGAGTTGGCAACGGGCTTTGTTGCAAGGATAGGTTCCTGGGTTAGTGTTTTTGTTCTGTGGTATGTGGTTGCATATCCCCTAACAGCTGTAGGCTTACCTGAAAGCAGCTAACAGAAGTGTTCTTGTCTTTAACACTCAGATGCCCAACACCTAATGGGGTCTAAACCCAAATAAACCCTGTGTAAGCTTTATACAGGGTAAACTCATAAATTGTTCGCCCTCTATAACATGGATAGAGAGAGATGCACAGCTGTTTGCCTCCCCAGGTATTAATACATACTGAGTTAATTAATAAGTAAAAATCATTTTATTAAATACAGAAAGTAGGATTTAAGTGGTTTCAAGTAGTAACAGACAAAACAAAGTGAATTACCAAGCAAAATAAAATAAACACGCAAGTCTATGTCTAATACAGTAATACAATGGAGTACAGATAAGATCTCACCCTCAAAGATGTTTCAGTACGTTTCTTTCACAGACTGGATGCCTTCCTAGTCTGGGCACAATCCTTTCCCCTGGTACAGCCCTTGTTCCAGCTCAGGTAGTAGCTAGAGGATTTCTCATGATGGCTGCCCCCCTTTGTTCTGTTCCACCCACTTATATATCTTTTGCATAAGGCGGGAATCCTTTGTCCCTCTGGGTTCCCACCCCTCCTCACTGGAAAAGCACCACGTTAAAGATGGATTCCAGTTCAGGTGATATGATCACATGTCACTGTAAGACCCCCAGGCCTCCTTCCTCCCAGCCTGACTCACAGGAAGGCTTGCCTGCAAACAGAGCTATCCACAGTCAGTTGTCCTGGTTGATGGGAGCCATCAAGATTCCAAACCACCATTAATTGCCCACACTTTGCATAATTACAATAGGCCCTCTGAGTTATTTCATATTTCTAGTTTTAGATACAAGAGTGATACATTTATAGAAATAGGATGAACACACTCAGTAGATTGTAAGGTATCATTACAAAGCTTATAAAGACACCTTTTGCATGAAGCATATTACGGTTACATTATATTCACTCATTAGCAAATTTTTATAAAATCATATAGACTGCAACATCGCACATACATGTTCAGACTCAAGCTTATATTGACCCTATCTCTGTGTGGGCTCATTCATTCAGCAACATTTCTTTTGATTCAAAAACAAGGGTCACTGAAAACTTCAGTCAAGCTTAAAACAAGTTTGGCAGTTTTCAATTTACCTGTTTAGCTATAAAAGCAAAGCTCTTTGCACAGTGAATTGAGTCAGCAGGAAACTTAACCTTTAACATAAAACATGAGCCGAGTTTGTAAATGACTTTCCTTTCCCCTCCTTATGTCTTAGTGTATTTAGCTTTTTCTTTTGGGGAGGCAGCAAGGAGACCACTAACATTTGGGAAAGGGACTCTTTCCATGTATACGTACACCTCCTAGTACAATGGGGCTGTGATCCTGATTAGAGTCTCTGGATCCTAAATCTATTGCAATAAATATATATTAATTTGTTGCAATCAGGAGGTCCATACATGTTAATAGCTAAAATGGACCAGTCATCATTTTAGAAATACAGGACACAACCCTGAAAGTCAACAAATCTTAAATTCATTAAACAGGACTAATCACTTTATTGCTACCAATACAAAGTCTGACCAGGCTAGATCTAGAGAGTAATTTGGTGTAGTTGTAATGGGCAGAAGTTCAGGCGAACTGGTCTAGCTGTAAAAGAAGCCACACAGACAAACCACAAGACAGTGAGCCCTGCAAACTGCAGCCCAATTTGTTAGTTTCCTTGATCCAAGTTCTTTTTTTTTTTTTTTTTTTTTTTTTTTTAAATTTGTATCTGCTAGGAAGTAGAGGTTCTCTTGTTTAATCCATTATGTTTCTTCAGGGAGAAACCCTTGAGGTATTTTGCAACCTGCTGCAGATACAGGCTCTGTGATATCTTGCTTGTCTTCAGAACATACATAAAATTTATTGTAGAAGATTTTGCTTCCTAGCTGTAAATTGAAATCCATTCAGATACTTTAGAAATATAGTGAACAACCAGTGTGGTCTGCCTTCTTTATAGTGTCAGCATCTTGGATGCCACCTTGAGATGAGTTCTAAATGAATAAACTCAACTGAATTAGGTTGTGGACAGATTCACTCTTAATCATGCTTTGATCCAACAGATGTTCCACATCTGGTACAAGAAGGGAAGGGTATTTTTCACAAGGGAGGAGGTTCAAATACAACCCATTCAGGGGTTAAACAGTTGCCTCTGATTTATGCCTGATCTGTTGCTACTTGAGAGAACTAAGCAGTGTAAAATAGAGCACCTTCTCAGTTTCACTGCTGCTTGCTGGGTTCTGAATATCACCAGTGGAAACACAGGAGCTAACAGACTCAGGAAGATAGCACCGCATTGGTTAATATATAGAAGGTGATGTTAACAACCATGCAGGGGCTGTAAAGTGGTTTTTTATTTTATTTTTTTTAAATGAAAATTTAGTTTCTTTAGAAAATGAAGTCTGTCTCCCTTCCACCACTGCCACCAAACAAGGAGTTTCCTAGTTTCAAGTGCTGTAGCTGTGCTGTTGTAGTGTAGATACTTCCTATACTGACATAAGGGGTTTTCCCATTGATGTAGGTAATCCAGCTACAGTGAGGAGGGAGGTCAACCTAGCTGCATTGCATTGTATAGGGTGTGAAATTGTTCACAGCCCTGAGAGATGTAACTAGGTCAACCTAAGGCTGTGTCTACACTAGCACTTTTGTCAGTAAAACTTGTCGGTCAGGGGAGTGGGAAAAACCCTCCCTGACCAATGTAAGTTTCACCGACAAAAGCGCTGGTGCAGACAGCGCTGTGCCAAGTCCACACAGAGCGGCTACGTGGGAGACCTTACAGCAGCACAGCTGCAGTGGTATGCCTGTGCTGCTGTAAGGTCTGTCGTGTGGACATAGCCTGTGTTTTAAGTATAGACCATGCCTTAGCGTCTGGCTACAGCAGTCTGAAATTGGAGCTGCTTCTCTAGAACAGTTTGTTTCTTCACCTCTGCTTTCCCTCAGTAATTTCTATACTGACGGGCCTTTGCTACCCTGGAAACTTTTAAAAACTCCCAGGGGCAGTAGTGACCTTTTAGAAAATGTTCCTAGCATAGACCTACATTTAACTACACAAATGTGGGTTTTTGTTTTTGTTTTTAAATGAAAAGCAGTGGGCTAGATTCAGAGATGCCAATTAACTACTGCTTCATTTTAAGTCTGTGGGAGGTGAAGGTGCTTATCACCTCTGGAAATCAGGCCCTTTAAAGCTATTTCTTCTACAGGCTGCAAAAGAAAAAAAGATTCTCTCTCATTCTAAGTTCTTGGGAGGCAGATACTGGAAGCCATGAAATATTTAGATTTAACTATCTGCCTTGTTCTACTTGACGTATTTTCTTGACATATTTCTTCGGATATGCATCCGAAGAAGTGGGCTGTAGTCCACGAAAGCTTATGCTCTAATAAATTTGTTAGTCTCTAAGGTGCCACAAGTACTCCTGTTCTTCTTTTTGACATATTTTGTATGTCTAGATTTCAGGCTTAGTGTTTTTAATGTCTACCTTTTAAGGTAATAGGCAGCAGTTATCAATGTTGGCATTTTCTTTTCTTCAGCTCCTGACCCCTAGTTTTCTTTTTTTAAACTTTCAGGAAATGAGGAATTAATGTTGCCTGAAACTCCTATATCTATTTGTCAGTGAAAACAATAGGCTAAAAATGTGCCTGTCCAGCTCTTTCAGCTTGAGCACATAATTTCCCCTGCTCTGTCAGCTCCACTTTTTGTGAAGAGGCAGTGAATTGGTATGAGAGTTGTGCTCTGAGTGCTGCAAGTATGCTGTACAATAAAATATAAGATGAACTGGGACAGAATGAGTGGTATGGTAAGCAGACAGGATTCTTTTGATAAGCTGTATCAAGCTAAAAGTATACATCAGACAACAGCTCATCTAACTTAAGGCATGGGAAATGTATCCTTAGAAACTTTGGCAATTTCCTTAAATAACTTTTGTTACTTGGCTATCCTTTAAAGATACGGTTTAATAGGATTCTAGCAAATTAAGCCCCTTTTTTGACTCTTTCAGCCTCACCTTGCACATGTCAAAGTGAGATAATTGCATAACTATGTATGTCTGATGGGGTGTGCCACAGCAACTTGCTATCAAGAGTAGCAGAAAGTGATTGTAGGGGAGGAGTGGGAATTCAGCCTATCACTTAGTTTGCACCCTGGGGATGGGGGTGGGGTGATTTCTAAGCAAGGTCATCAGGTCAGAACACTTCGCATTTCCTGCCCAGTAACTTAGTTTTGTTTGGTGAAACTGCAGTTTGCTGGCTAGAGCAGAGCAGGAAGGGTTTAACGTCTTACTCAAATACAAGTCTACCCACTTGGTGGAGTGGGAGAATACTCCTTTAGCATTGCGCTCCTGTGTATGTGAATGCTTTGGATAGAGAGGCAAATTGCACCAAACAAGTAAGCGTGAAATTGCAGAACTCAATAGTGATATCTGGAGGCTTAAGTATGCCCAGTTCCTGTGCTTTCCAGTTAACAGGAAGGCTCATTGTACAAACCATATGTATCACTTTCCATTACATGAAACAAGCTGTTCTGCTGAAACATACTCTAAATCTTTCAGCAAAGTACAAGGGGCACCAAGCTGCCCAAAAATACCCACTCTGCACTGAAGCATGTGGTGGTTAGAGGATTGTAAAAGCTTGTGTGCGGCTTCGTTACTCAACTGCCTGACCTGCCTACATGAAAACTTTGGCGCTGCCTCAGATGCTCTAAGCAGTACATTACCATGAGAATTGGAGTCCAAACCTGCACAAAAAAATAGCTAGACATGGCAAGTGACTCATGGCAACAACCAAATAAAATGTTTGTCTTTAAATAAATAGCTTCCTACTGTCAGAAATCAGCTCAGACCCTCTTGCAACCTCCCTCAATTTTGAGAATGGGATTTTTAGAAAGAGGAGTTACACTGTGGTTTAGCTTCTGTAGTATTTGTTCCGTGAATAGGTGAAACCTTGCAATGTCCTTTCATCTGCCTTTACACCTAACTGGTTAACGCCTTCCCTTGTTTATTCTCCATCGCAAATCCTTTCCCACAGCATAAGCTAAGGTTTCATTTGAGTTTTTCCCTAGGATGGGGGAGGTGGGGGGATATTGTTCTTTCCCCAAGATGATTATTTTTGCACAAATTTCCTGTCAGCTCTTTACCTCCTCTTGTGTTATGTACCCAAGACAAATTTTCAAAAATAGGAGTCGCTCCTAAATCCTGTTTTAGGTCAATAAGGATAACTTTTAATGCTGCTGAGCATTCGGCACCTCCCAAAGACTTCATAGGGAGCTGCTGGGGGCTCAGTACTTATTTAGGAGCCTAACTAGAATTGAGTTCTTGACCCACTTACAAACAAGAGATCTTGTAGCTAGGTAAGCACAGCTCGTCTGGCTGCAAAGTTATAGAAGGTAGGACTGGAAGTTGGGTCACCGGTTATCCCTTCTGCTGTTTCCTTGTTTTATTACATGCCTAGGCCAATGCAAATAGATTTAAGACATAGTAGCTTCAGAGGGATTCTGCTTAATCTTAAAGCTCAAATAATGCCTCAATCTAGGTGAAACTAACAATTTGTCCCACTAAAAGTAACCTACAAAACCTTGAGCAGTTTAGGGGGAGACAGCTAATGACCTAGGAGGAACTAAATATCAGAGGGGTGGCCATGTTAGTCTGTACCATAAAAACAACAAGGAGTCCAGTGGCACCTTAAAGACTAACATTTATTTGGGCATAAGCTTTCGTGGGTAAAAAAACCCACTTCTTCAGACGCATGGAGTGAAAACTCCATGCGTCTGAAGAAGTGGGGTTTTTTTACCCACAAAAGCTTAGTTTTATTTGTGCATGTTAGTCTTTAAGATGCCACCGGACTCCTTGTTGTTCTAGGAGGAACTGATTAATTGGTACAGATTACCGTGATACACATTCCTTTTTCTGTTTAAGGCTGAAGAATTTGTGAAATTCCCCTTGTACTTCTGCTAATTCCCATCTAGCAGGCAGTTCATATCTAGCTCTAAAACTGAAAGTGATCTATTTCTAAATGTCAGACTTGGTCTCTCACTTGGCTTGCTCCTGGTAAACACGGAAGGTTCCAATACTTAGTTTTCCCAACAGTTTACGGTCATGGTCCCTAATCCCATTGCATGTACAGTGTGTTCCTGGAATTGTGCCAGGAAGCTTTAAGGTACTAGATATTGGAAACTGCAGAAGTCTCCATTTTACTGTTAGAATTCAGCTTTTGCCTGTCCAACTGTGATTAACAGAGCAGGGTGTTAAATAGGGCATAGAACTGAAATGCTAACTGTCAAATGACTGAAAACTTCATCTGATTATATTATGACCATTGAGTAGCTAAACCCACGTTTTACCATTAATAGTAGAAATTTTTTACAAGAAACTTGGCATAGGAGAGTCAATGGTTTTATTATATTTCTGTGTTACTATGTGGTGGCTAGATAAATTGTTTTTTCATTGCTTTTTCTTTGATCTCAACTGCCTGATACTAGTGAGAGTAGGGTGACCAGATGTTCTGATTTTTATAGGGACAGTCCCGATTTTTGGGTCTTTTTCTTATATAGGCTCCTATTACCCTCCCACCCCCGTCCCGATTTTTCACACTTGGTGTCTGGTCACCCTAAGTGAGAGTGAAGTAAGTCAATTCAGTGATCCCCTCAAATGCTTGATGACTGATCCTATTTCCCTAATTTATTCCAAATTACCAAAATTAGCTAAACTTTAAAAACCTAGATGCAGTCTTGTTTAACTCTCAATTTCTAATTAAAGGACTAGGGCCAGATATAAAGAAGTTCTGTTGCAGAAGTTCACATCTGTTTTTGCTGTTGTTTGCTTGTTCCCTCACCTATCTATCTCCTAGAACTGGAAGGGACCTTGAAAGGTCATTGAGTCCAGTCCCCTTTTTGCCCCAGATCCCTAAATGGCCCCCTCAAGGATTGAGCTCACAACAACCCTGGGTTTAGCAGGCCAATGCTCAAACCACTGAGCTATCTCTCCCCAACTTCCCCCTTAGTTACCTTATTTGACAGACAGGATTAGGATTTCAGGTGAGCTAGAATAAACATGAGATTAATTCTAAAGCAGCAAAGGTCTCATCTGCATATCAACATCCAGTCATAAGGACAAGAGAAATGTATAGAAGATATGACCTATGGAGAGTTTGTTTGCTTCAAAAGCTCTTTACCATCCGTTTAAAATAAGTAGCGCTAATAACAGTTGTATGGGCAGTTATACTAACAGAATTAAAGTTATAATGGGTCTTTCTGAGTCTATCATACAGTCTAGTAAAACTACAAGAACTCTTTGGGAGAGCTTTGCTTTCATGAATAAGCTTAGACTTTAAAGGGGGAAAAGATGCAGTCACATAGAACATGTTGGATTTGAGATCCTCTTAGATTAAATGATGCCTAGCCAATTGCTCTAACTAAATACTTTCCCTGGGTATTATTTAATGCTATTTATTCTTCTTTTCCAGGTGGAGTGCGTGGAATAGCACGAGGAGGCCTTGCAGGCTTGATGCTTACTGGCCTCTATGCTCTCTATAACAACTGGGAGCATATGAAGGGCTCAGTACAACGACAATCCCTCTGAGCAGGGTCATGAGGACTGACTATAGGACATTTATGTAGTTCACCAATCAAATTGATTGCAAAATCTGTCTGGTGATGTCCCTTCATATTTTATCTACAATTAGTGTGAAACTGAATGGAAGCTATTGTACTGTGAGGAAGTTCATTGACACCATTTACCAGGACTGGCACATTCCTTCTAGCCAGCAGACTACTGGAGGCAGCAGTACCTGTTGGATCTGCAAATGATTACAATGTGGCCATTAACTTCTCCTCAAAAGGCACAGATTGTCTCCCCAGCATCTCACTTTCTACTAGCCCTGGACATAAGCTCCAAGATCTGATCCCCTAACTTGGCTCACGTAGACAGTGCTATGCCACCAGGTTCATTCGGTTATTTGTGTACTGTGATTGTGCTACTTTCTAGCCAATAAAGTTTGAATCCCTAGAGCTAACTGCTGCAGTTCTAACATAAATAAAAATGGTTTTGTAAGCCAATGTTAATTCAGCTGGAGCAAGGTGGAGTTTGTCATTAGCAGTTAGCACAAGCCTTGCCTTGTGCTCATGGTAAAAGCACAGTGAAAACTGTTAATAGGTATATCAAGCAGTAAATAGAAGCATGGTACGAATGTGCTTTTTCTAAGCTGTCTTCTTTTACCCTGATAAGGCAAAGAAACACGTAGAGTCCAGTGGTTTTTGTTTGATTATAAAATAGTTTTGTTCAGGAACATGTCTGTGGTAAAAATTGAGGGCCGTGGTAATTTTTCAAGAAATGCTGAATGACAATGCCATAACCCGCCCAATGTCCATCACTAAGTACAGTAATTTTGTCAAGTGTCCGCTGCCGTGCAACATGGTGATGCCAACCCCTGGTTTTGTTTGATGGGGCAATGTGATTAGGTCACAGAAGGACAATGCATAGGAATTAGTGGAATAGAAAAGCCACAGGCCAATTGGCTCCTGCTGCTAGATAAATGGTATGGTGATAGTTTTAAAGGGGGGGGGTAATTGACTGGGTGTTGTATTTGTTTCTATTACAAATAGAGGGACTCATTTCTTCATGCAGGCTGTGGCGGGGATGGACAGCGATCTGTGTTGTTGCAGAATATTTTCTCACTATTAAAACAGATGAGTGCTCCAGAATTAAGATGATGAGGAAACTGGTTTGGTCAGTAAATTGAAACCAAGCAACAGAACATCACTGTTTAGAAAGCAGTTTCTGTTAAACCATCTATTTCAATCTGGTAAAAATGTTTCTATGGAGTCAAGCAGGATAATGTTTATGCTTTTTGACGAATTCTAAGCCTTTGTTATCAGTAAAAGACAGTTTCTCTGAGAACAGTCTTCACTACACCCACACTGAGAAGCATGGGCCTGATTCTCTTCTTAGTTACACTAAAGTAAATCTGTGAGGTAACACTAGTGTGGAAAGGGGAATCATCCCTCGTATGAGCAGAACTTACAACTGGAATAGTGGATTCCTTACATTACTATACATTTACTGGTTACAAAAAATGTTACAGGAACAGCTGCAGTCTACACTTAACGTCAGATGCTTACAGGTGAGTATGTGTGTCAGTAAGCCACACTACAGAAGTGCATATTAATCCAGGGCATTTACAAATCCCAATATAGGACTAGGATTTTATTCCAACACACTTCCTTCTCTCCAAAATAAACCCTCTGCTTTCTCTTAACCCCATCCTCTGGCTGTTGAGATAGTTTGTCTACAGGAAGCCTCTTTACCACAATAGGGCTCTTGCATAGTGCCAGGAAGTTATAACACAGAGAGTTGGCTCTCAGTGAAAAAGTAGTTGCTGTGAGTGGAAAGCATGGGAGGAGATTCACTGTAGGCAGCAGTCTTCTAGTTCTTCCTCTGGTGATTCTCCTACCTACCTTTACTGATAACTTTGCTGTAGCTACTCCCTGGTTCACATCCATCTGAGACCTAGTCAATTTCCTCAGGATTAAAACAAAACCCCCTATGCTATGGCAGTAAACCAGGATGAAAAAGGTACGGTAAAAGGTGACTTGAAGATACTATGTTGTGTAGTAGCTTACCCCCCCCCCTTTTTTTTTAATAAAGTAGAGCTTGTGAATTAGTAAGCACCCCTTTGTACTGTTTGAAAACAAGAGAATCTCAAAAGCTTCCTCCTCACTTATACAACCCCTGTGAAAGAGGTAGCTTTAAAAAAAATACTCCCAGTTGAAACAGGAGTTCTGCATCCCAGTTCATACCTCAATCCAATGAGAGCAACAAAAGCAGGAAGCAGCCTCTCCTAGCTTGACTTTACCTTATCTTCTTTCTACAAGAGGAGATGAAAGGATGTGGCTTTTCACAGGAGTTTCTTCCCTTGAAAAGGGAGCCTTGCTTTGCCCCATAGCAAAGGTCTTTAGGACTAGCTTTTATCTAGATAGCTAACAAGCCTTATAATTGACACCAATTAACCTAAATTATCAGTCATTAGAGCACAGTACCAAGCAGGTGTTTAATACCAATGTACAACTGGCTCTAGCTGAGAGCCACAGAGCTCTGCTACTGGAGCTACTTTGTGTTTTTCCTTCTTGATAAATACAGAGTAGAGTGAAAAGGAAGAGTAGCTGCTGCTGCTGCTTCTCCCTAATTGCTCCTTTGTGATGGTGTATAAAGGAAATTTGAAATTTTGGGAGTGTTTTGCTTGAAAAATAAATATCAGGAATGTAAAGTTTCACATTTTGCTGGAGATTTTTTCAGGACTGAAATGTAAGCTCACAGATCTTAACTACAACAGAACAGGTTGTGAGGCTTTAACAAACAGCTGGACTCCTCCAGCAGCAGAGGGGCATGCAAGTTTGATAGCTGAAAAAGTTTTGAAAGCAAGTGAAAATAGTTCCCCTCAATTAGATTTCAGCTGCTTGATTTGTGATACCCTACTCTCTATCCAGTTAACTGGAATCCTCTTCCCCCCCTCTTGTCTCCTTTGCAGGTCACCTGTAATTCATTAGATGCAAAATTAGTTACTAGCCTATATGATGTTCAAATTCACTAATGCCTTAAGGCCATAATTAAAGGCTAGATTGACTATAAATAATTTGGAGATATACCGGTCTCATAGAGCTGGAAGGGACCTTGAAAGGTCATCCAGTCCAGTCCCCTGCCTTCACAGCAGGACCAAGGACCATCCCTGACAGATTTTTGCCCAACATCCCTAAATGCCCCCCTTAAGGATTGAACTCACAATGCTGGGTTTAGCAGGCCTATTCTCAAACCACTGATCTATCCCTCTAGTAAATCTAGCCTGCAAAAAGTCTCAAACTACCTTGAAGTAGTGTCCCCACTAAAGCAAAGTAGGCTTGGGAGTTTAATTAATCAAACATACTGGAAAGGTAAAGGCTTCGTATAAAATACAGGCCCTGAGCCTTGACAAGGAGAGTAGTGGAAAGCAAGTGGTTTTATAGCAGCTCAAGCTGAATTCAAGGCAATGGTTTTAAACTGGTCACATGATTAAAGGTGGGAGATGGCTGGTAAGTGGAAAGGCAGGTGGGGGAAAACAAAAGCTTGGTTAGAGTGAAAAGGAAAAGGCCTAGAATCAGATGGCAGACTCAGGGGGTTTAAAAGCAGATGAGGCCTGCTCTGTAGAAGGTGGTCATGGCAGTCCTTGTTTATCTTCTCTTTGTCAAAGCTGTTTTGTCCTTTTGAAAGAAGCTAATCATGCGGTCTACTTTTACTCTCCATCATAACTGAGAATGTGCAGAGCTGCCATCCCATGAGCAAGCAGCTCTCCATACTCTAATCAGTTTAAGAACATTTACTTCAGCAGATTACATTTGGAATTTCCAGCCCCATAGTTTCTGGTGGAGGCAGAGTGCTTTTCTGAACCATAGGGGTATGTACATGAAAGCAGTGAAGGTGCTAACACTCCTAGCCTCTGGGCACTTGTAACTGTCAGCCCAGCTTCTCCCTGCACTAAAATGTGAGGAGGTGCAGAATGATACCCCTTTTCAAAGGCCAGGTCATTGCAAAAGATTGGACTGTGCTTCACAGCTTCTCTAGTCAAAGAGAAGGGAATTCTCACTTCAATCTATTCTGCAGGGAAGTTTAAAAGATTTGTACAGTGACTTTACAGAAGTGGGGTTTAGTACATCAATACACATGCAATTTCTAGACAGCTTAATAAGCAAAATGCAGAAAACTGCCCTGTGGCTTGCATTTTTACTCATCCCCAAGGAAGGTTTAACCTATAAACATAAGAGGCATCCCTCAGCTACGTCTTTTAAACTAATGGATTTAAAAGGTCTTGTCTATACTGAGGATTTGCTAATATCAGACAAGCAGGGCTGACTATACCAGTGAAAGTTGCAGCTTATAGCATTTACTCTGTCTACACTAGGGCTTTTCAGGACGGAACTCTAGTCATTGGAGTACATGCAATGTAGACAAAGCCTCAGTAACCTTGTCTACAGCAGTGTTCCGAGTTCCATGAACCTGAGCTGCATCTTATATGAAAGATGGCTTACTTGCTGCGTGCTGATTAGAGTGGGTGGCCAGTAGATAGCCATCTTTATAAACAACTGATAAAGTAGCAGGGAGGTGAGCACCCTCTGAAATGCATTTGTAAACAGGGGGGGGGGGAACCCTAGAACAGATACTCTCTCCCCCCCCCCCCCCGCCCCTTACAGCACCAGAAAGGACCTTCCAGTAGTACTCTTGAGGAGGCATTTGTTGCTGTGCCTCTTCTAAGTAGCTTCTGTATTAAAGAGCACCCACGTAGCCTACTGGATAGTCCCATATCAGTCAAAGGACAATATGCAAATTTGAAAGGTTTGTGTTTAGAGCCTCAAATGATGAGGGTGGAGCCTGTAGGGAACAGTGAAATAATTCTAAATTACAGAAAGCTGAACAAAGTTTATAAAATTCCCCAAATACAGCTTTCCACAAAGAAATAAAAACCACCACACCCACTTTTGGCTGCAATATTTTTTAATGGAAAAGACTAATCAACACTTTACATAAATATTTATTAGTATTAACTAAATTAGGGTTCTGTGAAAAGCAAATGAATACACACCCAGAAAGTTTTAAGGGCATAATGAATTGAATATGAAGTTAGCACTCATTAACTTAGGTTAAAAGGATTATAAAGGTGAGTTGCACATCAGACATCATCAAATTCAACTGCTAATCAAAATAGGCTATCATTGGAGTTAGTCATAGTGTAGTCTTTCCATGCAGCAACAGGCAATATGGTCCGGCAAAAGCTGAAGTTCAAAAAACACTTTCTGATTTCAGTAGACAGCTCAAACTATTAAAAGAAAAGGTCTTAAGTGGTCTGCTAATCTAAAGCCCTTATAGAGTCTATTTTCAGTGTGCAAAGGGCCAAGATTTTTTCATAAATCAGTTCACAGGCTATCTGAACATAGTGGTACACACAAATACTTTCATACTGTGTAGCACCAGGCAAGTGGTATTAAGTTTCAGTCCTTGGAACAAGATTTTCTTTCTGCACTGAAAAGCTGAGGCCATTTTTACGCCAGACAAACTTTAAGAAAACGTTATCTAAAAATCATCAAAAAAAAGTTAATGAAAATGAACAGGGGAAATTAACTGTGCAGATATTAAATAACTTTGCTAATTCTTCATGCAAGCTAGAAAACCTACTGCCCATTTGCACCTAGTACACCAATGGTTTCAGACAACTTATGCAGTTTCATAAGGGTTTAATAAAATGTTGTATACTAAAGGAGGTATATTCATGCTATGTCCACTGCTACAGTGATCAAAATTAATCTGACTCCACTTCCCAACTCTGATACCAAGGTGATAGTTACCTTAACTATCTAAAACAGATTGAAAAGGTGGTGGGATCCATGAGGTCACCAGCTGGAAAACGTATTGAACAGGATTACATCATATTAGGAGGCTCTCAAGCATCCAAAGTTCCATTTTTGTTAAGCATTCTGAGAGGTTTCCATTTATAATTGTATTGGTCTATGAATTAGACAAGGAAACATGACTACCAGCAGTTTATACAATATAAGTTAACTGCCAATTAGTCTAAAAATAGACATCTTTGAGTCACTTTTTTGTACACCAAATTGTTTTAGTAAAATTGTAATTGTTACCTCATTAAATGCGGGGCACCTACTAGCTTCAGAGTGTATTGATTCACAAAGACTAACAGCTCTGAAAAGACTGTCAGTTCAAAAGCAATTTAAAAAGATCTGGGCCAAATCTGTCTCAGTTCTCACTAGCTGAAGATCTCATTCAAAGGAAAAATTTGACAGGAAGGTCTTCCTTTAAAAACACATCTAAGAGTTCTCATCTTGTGTCAGGGGCCAAAAACAGTACATTTCTTTCAAAAACTAGAATACATTTAACAGCCTTGGGCTGAGTTGTACATAGGATGCAAGCAACAACTGCCATCCTTCAAAGGTTAACAAAAATTTGCTTCCAACTAAGGAATAAGCTATCTTGAAAAAGATGGAATCCTTCTCAAGATAAAGTTCTAGAATTTGAAGGGCAACCTTTTGGGCAAGGAAACTGCAACACTATATAGTACAGTCCAAGCACCAGAGATGCAGATTTCACAGCGAAGACATTTCATTTTACAATTGCTCTGAGCTTCAACATGCTTGAAGTGACAATCTATAAAAGAAGCTTCACATAGGCCCATGAAAGATACGATCTTACAAATGCCTATTGTGTCAGTGTGCGTATATTCAGCAGGCCTGCTATATTCAGGAGTCATTTATAACACAAAGGCATTTTCTGCACCATAACTCAGTTACCTATAATTATAGTTTGTTTTTTAGCTAAAGCAGACTAGTCAGACACAAACACAATTATTCAGCAGACTGCAATGACATAGTATGTATGTGTGGCAATCAGCAGGAAGGTGACGTGGTTCTAATGCTTCAGGTTCTTCACTTCTAGAACAAAACAATTCAGAATGCAGAGTTATTTTATTTTGTTCTTTGGTAAAACAAAGTAACACTCTGTGAGAGAAGCGCGTACAAAAGGGATGTTGAAAATGCTTCACATAAAGATACTGCTTCCGAGGCTGAGTTTCTTGGTACTGATAGGTTTCTGTTCTGTAATTCACCATAAACCATACAAAGATTCAATATTTAATATCAATTTACTTAACAGTGGGAATGATTCCCTCAACCTCCCCTGGCAGAAGAGGATGAGGGAAAGAACAATGGAGGACCAGGAGGGGTACGAATGGAGAAGAGGGAATAGGTTAAGCTGCTAAAGATAGATATAGAAAGGAAATCATATGTTGCTTTTAACATTTAAATGTAGATATCTTCAAGGATTATAGAATGCACAACTGTGTTTATTAGCAATGCATTTGTGTAATTGATTAATCTTACCTGTAAAGGAGTCTGGTACAGCCACTTTTCTCTATCTCCATTCAGTTTCATACAGGCAAAAAGTTCACAAACTGTAGGTAGGCCATAGTCCTGAAAAAGGGGACATAATTAAGGACATTCAAAATGCATCTAAGTTAGTTTTCCTGTGTGTCAGCAATCTTTTAAAGGGGTCAGATCAAAGAAAGTTACATCTAATATTTCTTATGAGATGAATCTTGGCTATATTTGCTTTACAAAGTTTGTTGGATTTCAATACTGAGATCTGTTTTATTTCAGCACTCTTAAAATAGTGGTTGAGCATTGAGGATTGCTGTAAACACAGGGCAAGCAGTAACACTGGTAATTATACTGTCTTAACACATTATCTAGGAACAAACATTAAAAACTATGCTCACTTGTGCCTTCTTGCGTAGAAGCCATTTATCTTCCACTGGAGGCTGGTTGACATTTTCTATATTCTTTGAAGACAACATCCAACTGTTGACATTCAGAGGAAGGTGGAATGGGGCCAGGAGGTCTAGAAAGGGACTCTTGAAGCTAACTTCTGCTTTCTCCTGGTTTGCCTTTTCTTCTGTGCTTGCTGCTTTGTGCACTGATTTGGCTAGCCAGGTTGTCAATGGACTCTCAAGCAATGCTTTTAGAGGTTCTACAACCTTCACTGAACTATCCAATTTCACTGTGGTAGTAGCTGACTCCTCTGGAAGCTGCCTGGAGGGATGAAGCCAGATGTTGACAGCAGATTTAGGCTTCTCAGGCTCAGGGTTCACCACCGGTATCTGGTTTCCTGGCATGCCATTTTTATCCTTCCCCTCTTTCTTCAGGAGCCACTTACACAGAGCTTCCTTTTCACAGCTGTTATCACACACACACTCTGAAAAGCTAGTGCATGGCTCATTAGCTTTGCACACATCTTCCACTTTAAATGGAGTCTGGGGGTGCTGCAGAAGCCAGACATTGGTAGATACCGTGGGTGATTTCTTCACATCCTGATGCTCATTCAGGCACTTAAGATTTCCAAGGTTTTCTATTTCTACACTCTTGGCCTGACTGCCATGACAGTTAGTACAGGAGTCAGCTTTGGGAAGCCAATCATTTATGTTATATTCCTCCCTAAAAGGTTTAAACACACATTTCCATTTCTCTTCTGAGGCACTACTTCCATTTTCTGGGTGAGAAGGAGTAAGCAGCCAGTCAGAAATGTCCATCTCTTCTTGCTCAAGGAACTCCAATTGATCCATCTTTTCAGTGGAAAAGAAGGAGCCGCTGGTGGAATAGGCGCTCTTGTGCTTATGGGAATCTGTTTTTTCAGAAGTTTCTTCTCTTTGCTGATTCTGCAGAAGCCAGTTTTCCAAATCTTTCAGATTTCCCCAGGCTTCCTCAAAATAACAGACTTTGGAAGAGTTTAAATCCTTAACAAACAAAAAAAATACTGTTTGTATAGTGACAGCTCAGAATATTTTGAGACTCAAGCAAGATGTAACAAGGGTAAGGCAGAGATGCAAGGAAAGTATAATGGATGTGCTCCCCACCCTTCCAATTTCAACTGCAGCATGATACCACATTCCTCTTTAATACATCTTATTTAGTATGTGAAGAGCATACCTGGCTGGTCTCTGGCACATGCTTTTTCATAAGCCAGTCCTCAGGGTTGATGCTGGGAGCATATGGAGCCTGGCAACTGCTAGCAGACTTGCTTCCAAGTAGCCAGTCACTGAGTGGGGAACCTAACGTCCCAGACAATAGTTTCTTCTAAAAAAGAACATAGGGTCTCCATGTTATAAAAATAACTATTTCATTGTGGAGGCAATTTACAGAGAACCTCAGAATGTACAGTGTGTCCAATGTATACCAATATTTATTAACCAAAAGAAGAACCACAGAAGTCCCTTCTCACACCATCTTCTCAAAAGCCTCACAGTCATCTATGTGGCAGAAAACCAGCTTACTGCTGTGTGGTTTGCTTTTCCAATTGTTTCGAATTACACCTCTACCCCGATATAACGCGACCCGATATAACACAAATTCGGATATAATGCGGTAAAGCAGTGCTCCAGGGGGTAGGGCTGCACACTCCAGTGGATCAAAGCAAGTTCGATACAACGCGGTTTCACCTATAACACGGTAAGATTTTTTGGCTCCCGAGGACAGCGTTATATTGGGGTAGAGGTGTATCTAGAAACTAGATTGGAAACAGTTATGTGTGTAAAATTAATCGGTATGACCCACAGTAGTTCTAGGTCCTGTAAACACTGCAGCACTTTTGACTGTACAGTCTGTCAATCTACATGAAAAATACCTTGAACACAGCTGCATCTTTGTGCTGGACCCAACATGGTGCCTCCCAGCTGAACTGTTGCAATACAACTGGAATGGTTCCAAATCCCTGTCTGGCACACTTAGGACTCGACTCCATTTATCCTCTAGCATTTATACTAGAAGAGCCAAGCTGGAGCCACCCCATTCCACCCCCATGGACAAATTAACCCAGGTTCATATTTAAGGAGCTGATGTAAGGGAAGATGGCAAAAGGAAACTAGAACATCCTCCCCAATAGGCATACTCAATTGCCACATTATTACTGGATACTCAAACTGCAATACCTTAACAACTGCCATAAAAATTACCAGTTAGGAAAGCTGAGAGATAACAAGATTATGCTTATACTATCTTTAGTCAAATCCTATTTTCAGAAGACAAATATTCATTTTACCTGTTCATGTTGGGCCAGCGTGCAGTTCTGCACTGACATCCAAGGGGAGGCATTTTCTGTCTCAGGAGTTTGCTATTTAAAAAAAAAGTATGAACAATAATCACTTTCCTCATTTTTAAAACTCAACTCAATTTAATTAAAAAACAAATGTTTAAACATTAAGACTATAATGAAGCAGCATTAAAAGCACAGTTACAACTGGTAAACTCCTTTTATACCCTGGAAACTTCAAGGTTACTGAACGGTGGGGGCGGATGGGGGGAGGAGAGAAGCCTTCAAAATAAAGATGTTATGGCAAATTTCAGTGTAGAGCAATTAAGCAGAATTATTTCTGCTTTTATAAAGTTAAATGCTCACAGAGGCTGGGGCATGTACTTTTTCCATCGATATTGCCTACAACTGGCATCCGCTAAAGAAAGTCCCCACATTAAATTCCAACTGCTACAACAAAAAGCAAGAACACATACCCGCCGCCCTCCACCAGTCACCCTAACCTTCCAATCAACCTCTGCCAAAAACATACTTGTATGTTAATAAAATGCAGGTATACTTTAACGAGGCTGCTGCACAAAGCTTTACATATAGACTGCATATAGACTGACTCCAAATGTAGCTGAGGAGATACTTTTGAAACTGACTTCTTGACATAGCTTGGGTTTTGTTATTGCTGCATATAAATATCACATCCCTCCCATGTGATCATAATTTATCTGATCAAGGAGTTCTACACTTTCTGAAGTTGAAATATGCAATGATTATTAGATTATGTGCCTAAAGCTGTAAAAATATTTGTGTATGTTTTATATTTCAACTAAAGATTTAAAATGAAACCAGTTGAATAAATGATGAGGGATCTGCAGACTCCCTCTCCCCTTAAAAATATCTGAATCAAGTACTTTCAACAGTGATCCTACTAGAAAAGCCTTGGTACTCACCATTGTTTTAATTGAGCCAAACGACGTGATGGCCTGGCGAAGGAAAGATGTATCAGCCTCAAAGTTCAGGTTGGAAGACTCTTCTGGTTTGAGGGTCAGACTGCCTAGTCTAAAAGAATTAAGGAGATCTTTAATAAAAAATAAAGTTCACCCATAAGTTCAGTTAAACCCTTCGCTAGCTTTAAGCACGTAAAACTGAGCCAATATTTGTATAAAGGCTTTTAATTGGCTCTGCTGCAAACAGCCAAAAATGTGAACTAATTTGATTTATTTATCTTTTTATTTTTGTGTAAAAAGCTATGTCCATCCAAGGTTCTATGCAGTAAAAACAGAAAAAAGTGAAATATCCAGCAAAACACTTACTCTTCCTCCCAAATCAAATGACATCAAACCTTAACCTCTGTAGTAACCTGCACAAATAGTTGTGCTTGCATTACAACTGATGGTATCCTGACTTCTCTTTAAAGGATCAATTTAAAAATCTTACACTGAGATTTTCAAAGCAATCCTGGGTATTTAGCCATACTCGTCTTCTATCCGAGACTGTTTTGAAAATCTCACCAATAATTTTTTTTTTAGGAATTACCGAAAATAGCTCTTAGTAAAGTATTATACATACGTCATAAAAGCTAACTATGTAGAAAAGATGGTCTACAGACATTATGACCAGAAAACAGTTTAAATTCAATGTAAAGTCAAAATGAATAGCACTCATTTATTCAGATTATGTAATATTTTTACCTCTCCAGGCACACAGAAATCTGATTGACTAGGTCATTACTATGGGGGTGTTCCAGTTGGTGGATAAGACAATTGAACTGTCCCAGCAACTATATGAAAAATAAAACATTATTATTGCCTTAGCTCCAGTAAAGGCATCACATGTTCAAATTCATACTCTTATACTTGACACAGGATATACCTGTTCAAGATTTGTACTTTACCATGAATACATACTAGCAAGACCAGTGTATTTGAAAGGGCCAATATAGCTAAACTGAGTTAAACACACAAATCTTACCCAGTAGAGTTGGTATGTTTGCTGTTGCAAGGTCTCCTCTTTGAGCTGCTGAATGAGATCTACCTGTTCAAGCAGCCAAACTTCACGACTGCGCAGACATTCCATATGACGACTTATGCAGCTGTGAATCTGAGCTTTGACCTGCAAGATAAATACCAGCTCCATTTAGTATTTCTGGAATGTCTGCTGAGTAGTTCAAACCAGAACATGCCCAATGTGTTGTGGGTTGTTGTTTTTTTTTTTTTTTTTTTTTTTTT